GTGGCCCAGGTTCTGTCTCTTGGCAACTATCACATCCATCTCTGCCGGTACAGACAGCACCTCTTCTACCTTCCTCCCCCTGCCAGAATTTGGTTATAGGTGAGATCTCTTTTCTCTGTCCCTACTCGCCCCATACCAGATCTCTCTGATCCTAGTGGGACTTCACCTTCCCCGATACGTCCCTGGGTTAAAGCAAAGAGCTTCTCTCTCCACTGGCAGTTTCTTCCAGCTGCATGCCTCCTGCCACCCTTTACTGACAGATCTGGCTGTACTTCTTGAGTTTATTTGCTGGAAAGGGCACTCATCTGATGACGGATTTCAGTGAACAGAAACCCAGGTTCCCACCCATCCAACATCAGCATTTCTTCTTAGATCCTAGCAAGGGGAAGGGATGTGAGTTAGCTCGAAGAGAAACTGAGATGTTGATGAGCCAGTCTGGCCCTCACCCCGATGGGGGACTGTGCATGGAAGACCCTCATCTCCTTATCCTGGCCCCACCTCCCCCCCCCATGGCTTCTCTCTAGTCTTTCAGGCTGAGAGTGGAATTGTCCCTCGTGACAGGTCCATCGTCATGACGTGTCCTGGTCCCCCTGGTTTTCTCGTGCCCGGGGCCGGGTGGATGGGTTCGAGACTGCAGGACATCATTGACCAGAATGCGGATCCCTAATATGATGCTCATGACGCCCACAGTGACCAGCCCAATTCCACCCAGGGTGACCAGAGCAAGAGGAACCTGGTGGCGCTGCTGGAATAGCCACAGACTCATCCACCCCAGCGGGACCAGGCGGAAGAGGGCCAGGGTGGCCAAGGAGGCCCAGCTGGTCACGCTGAAGGCCAGGGATGGGGCCTGGCGAGAGAGCAACAGCAGCTTCCGCAGGTGCAAGCAGGCAGAGTTCAACTCCAGGAGCAGAGACACCATGGAGAAACCCACGTAGTGGCCAGACAGAACAGCGGTGCTGAGGCAGCTCACTACCTGGGAGCCAGGGTTACAGGTCAGAGGACTCCCCGTGACCTGCCAGCCATCATGTCCCAATAACCCAGGCCTTAAGAGAGGCTTCCACGCATTCTGTGGGACTCCCCAAACACCTGACCTTTATGCTTTTACCTTTATCCTGGGGCCCTGAGCAGCCTTGAAACAACCCTTCCACAGATGGAGCCAGGATTGGCCCAGGGAGGGGCTGTCTCATCCCCTAACACCCCTTTAACTTCCCATTCCTGGGCTTTCTTTTCTTTCTTTCTTTCTTTTTTTTTTTTGAGACAGAGTCTCACTCTGTCACTAGGATGGAGTGCAGTGGCGTGATCTTGGCTCACTGCAACCTCTGCTTCCCTGGTTCAAGAGATTCTCTTGCCTCAGCTTCCCGAGTAGCTGGGACCACAGGCGCCTGCCACCACACCCAGCTAATTTTTGTATTTTTAGTAGAGACAGGGTTTCACTGTATTAGTCAGGATGGTCTCGATCTCCTGACCTCGTGATCCACCTGCCTCGGCCTCCCAAAGTTCTGGGATTACAGGCGTGAGCCACCACACCTGGCCTAGGGCTTTCATACCGCATACCCACACCCTATACTAGGACACCCCCTTCTCAGAAAAGCTCCATATTCCACATTTCCGTGATCAACTGGACACCTGTGGGGGGACCCAAACTCCTTAGGCTCACATGGTGGGTGCCCTGGCATGGTGGGTGCCCTTGTATGGTGAGTGCCCTGGCATGGTGGGTGCCCTTGGATGGTGGGTGCCCTGGCATGGTGCGTGCTCTTGGATGGTGGGTGTCTGGACTCCCCAGCTGTGGCCAGCAGCCACCTCCTCCCCCTAACTCAGCCTAAGACTGGGGAGCCAAGCACCAGCTGGGGGCAGAGACTCTGTGGGAAATGATAGGATAGAAAAATGAAGAGAGGGCGGGGGGTGGTGGCTCATGCCTGTAACCCCATCACTTTTGTAGGCCTAAGTGGGCGGATCACCTGAGGTCAGAATTTCCAGACCAGCCTGGCCAACATAGAGAAACCCCATCTTTACTAAAAATTTAAAAATTACTCCGGCGTGGTGGTGGGTGCCTGTAATCCCAGCTACGTGGGAGGCTGAGGGAGGAGAATTGCTTGAACCCCGGAGGCTAAGGTTGCAGTGAGCCGAGGCGGAACCACTGGACTCCGAATTGGGTGACAGAGTGAGACTCCGTCTCAAAAAAAAGAAGAATGAGGAGAGACTGGGAAGCTCAGGTTGGACAGGGCTCCCCTCCTCCCTCCTGTCTGGCTTCTCCCCTCAATCTCACCACCAAATGATGACAGAGAAGATCCCAGGTCTTGCCGAAGGTCTGGTTCTGCAGCAGGTCAGCTCCGTCTGCCAGGAAGTAACCTGTGGGCATGGGGGTAGGGGTTAGGCTGCTCCAGAGCCTGGGCAGCTTAGAGAGGATTTCCAGCTCCCCCCTCCCCGCCCCGCCCCTCTCCCAGTTCTTAGGTTTCCCTTGGTAAAAGCTTCAGGAACGTTTAACCCCCACGGGGGAGGGGAATGGACCTCGAAGGACAGCAGAAGCTGCACCCCGAACCCTCCATCGCCCCACCAGCCCAGCCTTCCCTGCAGACTTACCCACAGACACGGCCACCAGCACCAGGGCCCAGCGCGGGTGGCCATGGATGGGGTCGGCGGCCATCTGAGGGTACAGTGACAGGCTGGGGTATGGAGGGGGAAGGGAGGGGCATGGTTAGCCTCTCCAGGCCCTGACCCCGCTCTCTCTGTGCTCTCTCTGTGCGCGCCCCCACCCCAGTCTCAGCTCTGGAGACGCCCACCGGGTCTCCGGCCGCAGCCTCCCACCCCTCGCCCTCGCCCAGTGCGCCTCGAACTCCCAAGCCCGCACCCGAGCAGCGCCCCGGCCCCCGAGAGCAGGCTGTGCGCCAGGGAGACGCAGAGGTTCCGCCACTGCCAGCGGTCCCGAGCGGCCAATTCCGGCGTGGGCAGCCACCGCAGCCCCCAGTGCAGCCCTCGGAACGCGAGGAAGGAGGCGCCGGCCACCAGGAGCCCCGGGGGCGCCATGGCCCCGCGGCGGTTGGGGGGGCAGGGGGTCCAGGTCTGTCCGCTCGGTGCCCGCGCTCTCCTTCCTGCAGGACTGGGCCCCCGGCTCCCCTCCCCGCCCCGCCTTCGAGATTCGCAGGAACTTTTCCCTTCTCGTCCACGCCCCATCCCTCGGCTGCGCGGTGATTGGAGCAGCCGCGGGGCCGCCACCCCCGGAGCCTTGGCCACCCATCGTGTCCCGCCCCAGCCAGGGGAGCGGTTCGGGGGCTCCGGACCCTGGAGCTCGGGGGGCCTCCGGGATGTTCGCCAATAGGGGTCCTCCCCAGCTCCAGGCGTCCTGAAGCGCTGGAGTTGCAGACCTCGGTCTCCAGTCTAACCTCACCTGACACTCCCGGGCCCCGCCCGCGAACCCTGACCTCCTCCTCCCGGCTCCCGCGCCTTTCACCTACTGAGCGTCACCGCCACACCCTGGAAGGCAGAGGGCAGCGCAGCCCACACGTGCCTGCCCGAGTCTGGTCGCTGCCCCCACTTCCTTCCCAGCGTCCGTGGTGGGGAGGGGGCGCCCCACTTTCTTGGAGCCACCCCTTCTGCCTCCTGAAGTTTCCAGGCCTTTAACAGATCCCAGAAAACCTGTAATTCCAGCAGTTCTGCTCCCCGCCTCCACAACCCCCAGGAGCCCCCATGTTGGAGAAGCGACGCACTGGGCCCCGCCCTGACCCCCAGCATTGTTCTTGGCCCTACAGAGGAGCCTCATTAGGAAGATGAGGCAAAAGGGAATCGCTGGCCGCTGGTCTTGAAAAGCACCGCCCTTCCCCAAGGGCCTGGTATCTGTTGGGTGGGTAGAGTATCTAACAATCCAAGGGCAAGAAAAGGTAACACAGGGTCCCTTCAAGGCTGGGACAGAGTCAGAAGAGAAAAACAGACCTGTCCTGCTCTCAGTAGCAGGGCTGTTAAGATTCTAGAACCCTCCAGCCTTAAGAGGAAAAGTCTCCCCCAGTCCCTCACCCCCGAAGAGCCCCAGGTTTGTACTGCTTTCCTTCCACCTTACTCCACTCCACACCTCTTCAGCTAGCAGTCAGTCAGCAATTCAGAGCTGTTTCCTGCAGGCTGAGAGGAAGGATTCCAGCTACTTCAAAGAATTAAGTTCATAGACAAAGAGGCGCCCCAACCAAACCTTCTCACCAAAAAGCTGAGGTCTTCCCTTCATTCTTCTACCCCCACTTCTCCAAAGGTTTAAATAATAACACCAATCTCTTAAATTATATTTATTATAGGAAAGCAATACACAATTAATGTAGAAAATTTGGAAATTACAGAAAAACTAAAGATGAAAATTTCAGTGACTTTGTTCCACCATCCAAAGATAACCACTAAACATTTTTTAGCATGCCTTTCGTCTTTTTTATCTGCTCTCTGTATACAAGTATACACCCATACTTTAAAAGACAAAATTGAGATCACATAACATGCACTATTTTTACAACCTTTTAATATTCAAGGAGTATTTTTCTTTCAGTCAGATGTTCTTTTACATGACTTTTAATGTCTGTGCAGTACCCCACCATCTGGATGGAGATACAATAATTTCCCTAAGCAAAATCCCCTACTGCAAACTTTCATTACAGCAGAAAAGGAATGAATTCCCAACCAAACCATTGCTTCTCATTTTTCTCCGTTGCAAAGCTGGGATGAACATCTTATCACTAACTAAATCCTTAATAATTTTCTTAGGATAAATTCCCAAAGATAGAATTCATAGGTCAAAGGACGTGGAGCTTTTAGGCTACATGACACATATTACCCAACTGCCATCCAGGAAGCCTGCACCGATGTATACGACGTATACTCCCACACGCAATATATGGCAATGTCATTTCAGTAGTCTCTTTGCCAATATTGGGTCTTATTTTTTTCTGTTATGGTTTGCTAAGGGAAAAATGCTTTCAGCTCTATTTGCCTTTCTTTAATTACTAATGAAGCATACATTTTTTTCATAGTTTTATCCATTCCAATTTCTTTTATGAATTTCCTGTGTATGTCCTTTCGCAGATGGCTCTTGGTCCTTGAGGCTGCTTTACATAAACACTGCAGGCTGGGCGGAGGTGGAAGTAGGGCGGTGAAGCCACAGGGCGCTGCACTATGGCGCCACATCTTGGAGGCAGAAAGCCTGGAGAGAAATGGTGATCAGAGGAGGAGAGGGCTGGAGGCTTGCCGTCGATGGAGGCTGGCTGTCCTCCCTCCTTTTGGGGTGCTCCTGGCCTTTATGGGCTCCTCTGTTGGATGCCCAGGTAGGACCCTGTGCTCTCCAGGCCTGGTCCTTCACTGCTCTCCACATTCCCAGGCTCCCTTTCCTCACCTCTGCTCCATGATGGGTGAAGATGGCAGAGGCACATGCGAGGGCTGGAGGGAGACGCTGTGGCCAGTGAAGCAAGAAGAAGAAAGGACAGAGGCAGTGTCCAGGAACAGAGTGACCTTTGTTGCAGCCTATGCGTTTATCCCCTCCTCTCTACCACTGTCCCACTCAGCTTGGCTGCAGAAGGGCAGGGTTCCAGTCTACTCTTCTCCACATCCTTGAGTTTTTCACAAGTGGAGGGTAGGATACAGCTCCCTGCACATCTCCTCCCACCAAATCGAACAGACAGCTTCCTGTAGCCGCTGGGTGAGAATGGATCTGGGCTGGAGGGGGCAGATTTACACTGCCTGATATCCAGAAGGAGGTCACATCCCACAACCCACCTCCCCTGCTTGCTGCAGGGGAGAATTTCCTGTCTGCACAGGCCTGAGCTGGGGATCACATACCACCTTGGAAAGCAAAGTGAGGAAAGAAACAGGGCAGCGGCAGTTAGAATCCCACCAAGGGGCTGCTGTCCTGCTTTGGGTATCAGGGGAAGCCTTGGGCCACCCTTGCATGGGGGGACATCGTGGAGAGGCGAGCTCCTAGCTCCTTGCATTGGTCTAACTCTAACCCCTTCCTCCAGCTTCCCATTACCCCGCCCAGCTCCTGGGTGATGGTGTCAGGGATGGGGAAGGGACAACAGCTTATGTGAAAAGGTGTGTGTTCCCACCCTTAGCGGCGGGAGAGCCCAGGTTCTGAATCGACCAGGTGGGCTTCTGACTCCCTCATGTACACTCATCTGTCTGGCTGCCCATCTCATAGGTGGAGAAACTGAGACAGGAGGTCTAAGGGTCTCAGACACAGGTAAGTGGCCAGGAATTGACAGTAGGGGCCAGCCTGAGGAAATGCAGGGAAAAATAAGAGCAGAAGGATGACTCCTCACCCCGGGTTTAGTGTCACTTTTCCTTGAAGAGTGAGCTTACTTTCGGACCTCATCTGGAAAGGCCAGTGGGGAAGAATAAGAGATACGGAAGGAGGGTCAAGAAGGAAGTCCGGGAGACAGAGTGTTCTCTCCACTTCTTCCCACTGTCACACAAAGACCAACTAACCTGGGGTTGTTTGAGCCTTCTACTCCTCAATTCAGCCAGTGTCTCTAATCTAAAACCGCTCCTTGCTGGGCCAATCTGGGCAAAGGCTCTCCAGCTTTCCCAAAACGTATCATCAACCCTGCTGTTCGGACCTTCCCAGCCCATTTCTGTCACCTTCCAGATGACGGGGAAAGCGGCTCCTCCTCCTCCTCGAAGCCAGGGGCAGAGGGCAACAGTTCTTCAACTGGCAGCTTTAGCTGGGTCAGGACATAAAGCTTGCCACTGAAGAACTACTGCGGCTCAGCCAGGTGAGGGTGTGAGAGGAACAGGCTCCTAGGGGAAAGGGAGGGAAAATGGGAAAGATCTGAGCAGGGCATGTTGCTGCCATGCTGACCCACTCACTGGCCATCAGGGTCCTGCCCCAGTAGACCTTTGAGATTCTAATGAAGCGTTGCAGCTCTGACATGGGCCTGCACAAGCTGTTAGCCTCAGTGAGCAGCAAGAGGCAGCTGTAAACAGACTTCCCTTACTCTTCTTTCCAGAACTGGAGTCTAGAGAAACCCAGTCCTGCTCTCAGCCACCCCTGCCCTAGCAGCCCCCGGGGGCCCAGCCTCCTCAGCATTCAGACAGCACAGAGCCCGAGACCCTGGACACACCCCACCAGCACGCAGGTACTAGAAGTGTGGTACCTCAGGTCCAGAAATATGAGTTCAGTCATCAGCCCAAATGATTTGTTCCCAGGGAGTTCAGCTGGAAGGAGAGTTCTGGGGGCCTGGAGTGGGGAAGAGTGAGGAAGGGAGGAGGCCTAGCGTTTGAAAGAAGGTCAGCAGAGGCCCCGGGGCTGTGAGGGGCGGACAGGGGACCACAGGCTGGAGAGGAGGGAGGTGTAGGCAGGGTGGCTGGGCCTGTGAGGGGCGGGCAGGGGACCACAGGCTGGAGGGGAGGGAGGTATGAGCAGGGTGGCTGGGCAGCTTCCCCAGGACTCTCGGATGCCAGGCATTCCGCTTGCGCATTCCGGGTACATCTGGTATGAATTCCAGGCTGTCTGCCGGCCCCTCCATGTCTGAACTTTGTTCCAAGTTCCAAGCCCCGCCCCCACAGTTCCAACGCATGAATCAGCAGGAAAAGCCGGGCCCTGCAGCATGGCCCAGGGAGGGGGCTGGGGGCGTGGCAGACTCGGGGGATGTGAGCTGGGGAGGGCGGGTCTCTGCTGACACTCAGTCCAAGGGCATGGCCCACGCCAGGCTGAGGGGCCAAGGCGGTCTTGTCTTGGAATTTCTATACTCAGAGGGTAATAAAGATTGGGGGATACGGGGTGCGGTTCAAATTCTGAAACCCTCTTGGGAGGCATGAACTTTGTGTATCTTCCTACCCCTGGGTGACCAGTCCAACTCCGTCCGACCTTCCTCTGTCTGAGATAGCTCGGTTCAACTCAGAGGACTCAGCAGCTGCTGACAGTCTATGCCAAGCAGGTGCCCTTGGCTGCAGGGCGGGGTGGGCCCAGGGCACTGACCCTCTGACCAGCTGCTCCATCAACCCTCTGGCACTCTGACAGCTCCTAGCCCAGTATGACAGCCACGATGACAGGCCAAAGGAGTTGGAGGCTGGAACCAGGGCCGGAGGGAGGTGGGGGCGACAGCCTCGCCGGAGGCCATGGGGAGGGGCCAAGAGTTGGCCGGGAGGTGGGGAGAGAGGGAGCCCAGTGATGACTAACCCAGGCGCCCCACCCAGCCAGCCGGCTTCCCAGGCAGTCAGGGCCAGGCCTGGGCTAGGGGCCTCACAACCGGACAGGCTGGGGGGAGGTGCAGAGGTGACCTTCTCTCGGCCCAAGACGGCCAGTTAGTCTGGGGAGGGGGGGTTAGAGTTTCCAGGCCCTCCTCTTGCCCTCTTTCCCCCGCCCAACTGCGGTGAAACCCTAACCTTTGGGTTGCATAAGGCCCCGGCACCGCCGCCCCCTACTCCTCTCCCCTCCCCCCTTACATAACATCCCCTGGAGGGAAAGAGAGGAGGGGCCGGCCCGCCCAGCGACCCCTTCCCTGCCAGGGCGCTGAACTGGCGCTGAACTGGCTCTGACCCAGTGAACGCCGACAGAGGCAAAGCACCTCCCCGCCGCCCGCTCCGGGGGTCCAGAACCTCCCCAGGCTAGATGGCCGGCCCCTGTATCCTCAGACCGCGGGCCGCCGGGTGAGCCGCCCCCGGCCCTCCGGCCCCTCGGCTCCCCCCACCCCGCCACTCCGCCAGCCCTTCCGCAACGACTCCCGTCCCGGACTCTTTCCTCAGAGCTCCTGACACACTAACCCGGCCAGTCCAGGCCCCTCTTCCCGAAGCGCCCCTGCCCCCGCCGCCCCCTCTCTCCTCCCCGGAAGGGCAGGGTGTGGCCGCCCGGACCCCACTTTCACCCTCCATCCCGTTACCGCGGCTCCCCGCTGCGTGACCGGATGGCCAGCTCACACCCACCTGGTGCTGGGTGTGGGGGTTGCTGCGCAGAGGGGAGCAAATCACTGCGTCCTCTCCCCACGGCCGGCGGCGCTGTCTCTTCACGGCGCCCAGCACACACCGGCTCCAGGCTCCGATCAGCTGGCGGCGTCGTGACGCACGAGCTGCGAATGCACCGCCCGGGGCCAATCACCGCCCACTGCTAGGCAACGTGGCCACGCCCACCCGGGGGCGCCGGGGCCTCGCCCTGGTCCCGCCTCTCCAGGCGCCCTGGCTCTGATTGGCAAGGAGGCCACCCTTTTGCCGGGCGGAATTGCACCAAGCCCCGCCCACCCACCCACGAGCCGGCCAATAGACGGAAAGGCGTGGCCCAGCCCTTCGCGTCAACGACCCGCTTAGAAAAGCGCTACGTCAAACGAGAGTCCTAAAGAGCAGGCGAAAGTCACGGCGTCTGCGTTTGCAATGCATGCTGGTCTATGTAGTTCTCAGCCCGACACCCTCCTTCCCAGAACCCAGTGCGCTCTGTGAGTTGGCATTTTTAAACTGAGCTCGGAATCCGGCCCAGGGAAGTCCTTAAAGGGCGACAGCCCCTCCTTGTTGGAGCCGTGAGTGCTTCTTTTAGACATCTCCCAAACTGACTGGCCGGCCTCGGCGGGACGCTATAGCTCTTTAAGGAAAGGTGGCGCGGACCAAGGAGCAGGAGTGGACAGAGCGTCAGCCCCCAGGGTAGCAGAGGCTGCCGTTGGAGAGCTCTCGAGGGCTTTTGGAGGAGGGAGGATGCTAACCTCGCCCAGCCCAGCTTTCACTGAAGGGACCCAGCCCACTCCTCCTGGGGGCCCTTCCTAACCAGAGGAGGCTTTTTTCTTGGATGTCTCTTCCCAGTCCCAGAAGAGGCCGCAGAGCCTCCCAAGAGGTAGCTTTCTAACAAAAGATTCATAGCACAGTCCTCACCTTAGGGTACAGGGAGGGCTTCTGGTCAGAAATTAGGGGATGGGCCATGCCAAAGTGCAAATGGTCAGCAATCGCATCCTCTGATTAACCCCCATTCAGTCCCGCCCTCCAAAGCTCTTCACTGACTCAGGCCTACTTAGGGAAGAGATTTCGAAGGTGGAGACCAATGAGCAGACTGCTCCTTCCCCAGGGGCCAATCAGAGTCTAGATGAGCGGGGGATGGGCAAAAACTGAAATGAACCCAATGACTTGGCAAAAGCTGTTGGTCGGCTTTTTTAAAGGGGCAAGCCTACCCCACCTTATCGCTCCGCGCAAGCCCCAGAAAGAGGAAAGTGTGGACTGAAATCCATGCCTTTTCCTTCAGCTCCAAATAAGGGCTGAGAGTAACTGAGCAGGAGAGATGTGCCTGGAAGGTGAGATCCTTCCCTCTGTTAAATACGCTCTCCATCAGGTAATTGATAAAGTTCCTTGGAGCTCCAGAATTCTGAGCCTGCGTTCAGGACATTGCGCCTTTAAGGAAACTTCCTGCCTTGCGCCCCAGTAACAGCTGATTGTTGGAAAGTGTGACCTCAGGGGACGAATCAGCTGTTACCACATCCTCCTCCTTGCTTACCCTCCTCCATCCCCCTATCCACCCCCATGGGTGGTGAAGGAAAGAACATGGGGGATGTGATTGTATGATCTTTCTTTTCCCCCATCACTCCAAGACTGTCTTCCCCCAACCCCAACCCGAACCCCGCTCTACTCCTTAGTTCTTCAGAGGCTCTGGGCTTGGAAAGAGGTATTTCCTGTTAGCATAGTCAATTCAGATTCTCCGGTCTAGATCCTCCCTGGTCTAGGGGGAGGCCAGTATTGGGGAGGTCCAGAATGGTGGCTGGCGCCGGGGAGGGTATAGTGAACCCGAGGACCAAGCCTGGGGAGGAGGAATGGCTATGGGAAGAAAACTTGCGGTTCAGAACGCTGTTTCCCAGGCCAGCCGCCCCCTACTTCCTATTCAAGTTGCCCTATTCCCCTGTGGGCTGATGGGATCCTCCTGGTTTTGCCCATTTACTCCACTTACTTTATTTATTTATTTTATTTTTATTTTTTATTTTATTTATTTATTTAGAGACGGAGTCTCACTCTGTCACCCAGGCTGAAATGGAATGGCGCAATCTCGGCTCACTGCAAGCTCCGCCTCCCGGGTTCACACCATTCTCCTGCCTCAGCCTCCTGAGTAGCTGGGACTACAGGTGCCTGCCACCACGCCTGGCTAATTTTTTGTAATTTTAGTAGAGACGAGGTTTCACTGTGTTAGCCAGGATGGTCTCGATCTCCTGACCTTGTGATCTGCCTGCCTCGGCTTCCCAAAGTGCTGGGATTCCAGGTGTGAGCCACCGCACCCGGCCTATTTTATTTATTATTTTTTTTTTTTTTCTTATTTTGAGACGGCATCTCCTGTTGCCCAGGCTGGAGTGCAGTGACGCTATCTCAGCTCACTGCAACCTCCACCTCCCGGGTTCAAGCGATTCTTCTCCTTCAGCCTCCCGAGTAGCTGGGACCACAGGCACACACCACCACTCCCAGCTAATTTTTGTATTTTTAGTAGAGACGGGGTTTCACCATGTTGGCCAGGCTGGTCGTGAACTCCTGACCTCAGGTGATCCACCTGCCTCAGCCTCCCAAAGTGCTGGGATTACAGGTGTGAGCCACCGCGCCCGGCCACATTCCCTCCACTTCTAACTGTTCTCAGCTGCCACCTGGTCCCTGGGCCACTCCATTTTTGGCTTTCAGAGGTGCCCTGCCCACATGGCCACCCCCCACAGCAAGGGTGCTAATTGCTCAAGGGCTGCAGGTGGGACACGTTGGCCCCAAAAGCCAGCATCTTTGGCTGGGAAGTGCTGCAGGAATACCCAGGTAAAGATTTTGCCCCGATCTTGAGTTGGGAGTTGGGGTCACTCCAGGACAAGCTTAGTGTGAAGTCCTAGGACTGACTTGGCAAGGCAGAGAGAAATTAAGCAGGGCCCTGGCCAAACGTGGAAGAAAATGAAGCCTTACCAGCGACCCTTATTCTCCATTATCCCGAGCATAGAAATCCCATCCCTTTCCTGCTCACGGCCCTTGGGGTGACCCTTTTCCATTTTGTTCTGAACACTGACCCCACCCCCAAGGCCAGAAGCACAGGCTTCGAGTCCAGGGTTTCCCCACCTCAGCACCCGCTGGCATTTGAAGTAGAATAATTTCTTGTGGGAGGGCTACTGGATGCACAGTAGGACATCTGCGTGGTCCCTGGCCTCTGTGCTAGATGTCAGTGGCAACACTCACCCATCCCCAGCTCCCAGCTTTGACAGCCAAAAGTATCTCCAGACGTTACCAAATGTCTCCTGGGGCCAAAATCTCCTCCAGCTGAGAACTACTAAGTTAGACACACTTAGATTCAAATTCCAGCTCTTACTAGCTGTGAAATTGTTACAGATAATTTCCCCTCATCTACAACATACGGTGAATAAGGAATTCAAGGTTTGTTGTAGGGATTTCACCAATTAAAAATTTTTTAAAAATTCAAGATTTGGCCAGGCACAGTGGCTCATACCTGTGATCCCAGCACTTTGGGAGGCCGAAGCACGTGGATCACTTTGAGCCCAGGAGTTCAAGACCAGCCTGGGCAACATGGCAAGACCCTGTCTCTTAAAAAATAAATAAAAAATAAAAAATGGCCCAGCGAGGTGGCTCACACCTGTAATCGTAGCACTTTGTGAGGCTGAGGCAGGCAGACTGCTTGAGCTCAGGAGTTTGAGACCAGCTTGGGCAACATGGTGAAACCCTAGCTCTACCCAAAATACAAAAAATTAGCCAGGTGTGGTGGTGCACATCTGTGGTCCCAGTTACTCAGGAGGCCGAGGCAGAGGTTGCAGTGAGCCAAGATGGTGCCACTGCACTCCAGCCTAGGTGACAGAATGTGACTCCATCTCAAAAAAAAGAAAAAAGACGAAAAACAAATTTAATTAGAAAACACCTAGCATAGTACCTGCCACACTGGTCTGCAGTTGGTGCACTAAATGGTGGAGCTTCCTTTACTTTTCTCCCTGCCAGATTAGCAAGAACTGGCCGCACTCAACATGGGCTGACTGCTGGGGCAGCTGCAGCCTGTGTCCCTGACTATCCAAGACATGACCTCCTGGAAACCCAATACTGAGGTTGGCCAAGGGGAGTGGCTAATTTGGTCTGAGATTCCCCAAAGCCCAAAGGTGCTTGCATTGGGATTCAGGGAAAACGCTTACCCGGGGCAGTGAGAGGGAAATTCGGAAGAGAAGAAAGCTGTTACAGACTTTACTTCTGAAGATGTAGCCTGAAGTTCGCTGCATCAGAATTACCTGGGGTACTTGTTAAAAATTTAGATGCCTGGGTGTCACTCCAGACTACTGAATTAGAATTATGCCCTAAAGGGCCGGGCACGGTGGCTCACGCCTGTAATTCCAGCACTTTGGGAGGCCGAGGCAGGTGGATCATCTGAGGTCAGGAATTCAAGACCAGCCTGGTCAACACGTGAAACCCCGTCTCCACTAAAAATACAAAAGTTAGCCAGGCGCCTGTAATCCCAGGTACTTGGGAGGCTGAGGCAGAAGAATTGCTCGAACCTGGGAGGCGGAGCTTGCAGTGAGCCAAGATAGTGCAATCGCACTCCAACCTGGGCAACAGAGTGAGACAATGTCTCAAAAAAAAAAAAAAAAAAGAATTATGCTCTAAAGTTTGAAAACTACTGCCCTAGGGCTCAGATCGGGCCAGAGTTTGATGCCCCAGGAATCCCAGTGCACCAGTTCCCAATATTGCAAGGATATCTCTATTCTAGGGAGGAAGGGAGAATTTCAAGAGGTAAAATCAGGTACACGCAAGGTCACTGCTGCAGTGTAACCCCAGTACCGCTAGAGGGCAGGGCACACACAGACTTGCAGACGGTAAAAGTAGTGCCTGCTAAATCTAGGTAAACTGAGACCAGCGCAAAGAACAGGTGGACCCAGCCAGCTCTATTGGTACTAAGAAGCAAGCACCACCTCCTGACCATCAAAACATATCCTCTGATTTCAGGTATTTATATCAAAGTTGGGGCTGGGCACTGTGGCTCTCGACTGCAATCCCAGCTCTACTAAAAATATAAAACTTAGCTGGGCGTGGTGGCAGGCATCTGTAATCCCAGCTACTTGGGAGGCTGCGGCAAGAGAATCGCTTGAACCTGGGGGGTGGAGGTTGCAGTGAGCTGAGATCATGCCACTGCACTCTGCTCTGTTGCCCAGCTGGAGTGCAATGGTGCAATCTCGGCTCACGGCAACCTCCGCCTCCCAGGTTCAAGCAGCTCTCCTGACTCAGACTCCCAAGTAGCTGGGATTACAGGCATTTGCTATCATGCCCGGCTAATTTTTGTATTTTTGTAGAGATGGGGTTTCACCATGTTGTCCAGGCTGGTCTCGAACTCCCAACCTCAGGTGATCTGCCCACCTCAGCCTCTCAAAGTGCTAGGATTACAGACATGAGCCATCGCGCCCAGCCGAGAATGCTGGTTTTAGAATCAGACAGGCTTGGATGTGAATCCTGGCTCTATTGCTTCTTAGCTTCTTACATGACCTTGAGCAAGTTACCTAAGGTAGTCAGTTACCTTCCTTATCCTAAACTGGGCATAAAAATATCTTCTTAAGGTGGGCATGATGGCTCATGCCTGTAATCCCATCACTTTGGGAGGCCAAGGCAGGCAGATCACCTGAGGTTGGAAGTTCGAGACCAGCCGGACCAAAATGGAGAAACCCCATCTCTACTAAAAAAATGCAAAAAAATTAGCTGGGCATGGTGGAGCATGCCTATAATCTCAGCTACTCAGGAGGCTGAGGCAGGAGAATCGCTTGAACCCGGGAGGCGGAGGTAGTGGTGAGCCAAGATGGCGCCTTTGCACTCCAGCCTGGGCAACAAGAGCGAAACTTCATCTTAAAAAAAAAAAAAAAAAAAATTAGCTGGGCATGGTGACACTGCCTGTAGTCCCAGCTATTTGGGAGGCTAAGGTGGGAGGATTACCTGAGCCTGGGGAGGTCGAGGCTGCAGTCAGCTGTGATCAAATCACTGCGCTGCAGCCTGGGTGACAGAGTGAGA